TCATAATATATATATATATATATATATATCACCTGATCCTCGGAGCCAGCAGCACTCCCTCCAGCCTTTCTCCTGTTCCACTGCAGTAATTGTATGTCTCTTGGTGTCCTCATGTCTTGTACACTGTATTAGATGTAATGACTCACAGGACCTAAGACTGCTGCAGTGGGGGGTGGGGGGGTTGTGGAAACGCACCAGTGACCAGTCTAAAGCTGCCCATACACCTTATAACCATTGTATGACAGTGCTTTGGCTGCTGTACAGGCTATTGCGAATAGCCCATACAGCAGCCCTTAAGTTCAGCTGAACCAAAGGCTTCCCGCAGCCAAAACGAGCCGAAGGATTAGCCGAAGGTTTGGCTTAATCCTTCGGCAGCTTAGTGAATAACCTCTTAAATTTTGTCTGAATCATTTTGCCGGAATAGGTAACAGTCTATAATGCAGTGCATAACCTTTGCCCTGGTCAGCTGAGTCACAAAAAACAATAATTTGAAGTGGGTAACCCATTCCCTGTTCTTTAAAACAGTTTGGCTCACAGGGGTCATATTGTCACAGTGTGTTGGAGTTATTAGGGAGAGCTGACTATTCTGTGTAGGGAGAGATAATGTTTTTTTATTCATTTATTTTTAAATTTTTGCAATTTTGTCCCCCCCATGGCAGTGCCTAGCTTTCCATGCCTGCAATGCTTGGTGAACTGTTATGAGGGAGTAAAGTGGGAGGTGGAGAAAAGTTAATCGTACACAGAATCATATATCACTGCAATCACCACATCACATACATGGCTAACATCCAATTTTAATGTGTAATGGTAGCAGGTGAAAAGCTAAAGAAAAATTAAAAGGATATCTGTACTTAAGAATAAATATGTAAAATCTTGCAACTTACTATTCATAGGCTGCATCTATTTTACATTTTCAGGCTAACAATATTTTTAGCAAGAACTGTTGAGCTTGTCAGAAATGCAGTTTCCTTGTTATTTTCTGTAAGCTAAACTGGAAACATACAGCAATGTTATACCTCTTCAGTAAACTATGAATCTAATCACCCCAAAGTAATGGAGATTACAAAACTAGATATGCCTGACATTCATTTTATGCATATAATAATCAGTGCTGATAGTGTACCATCACTCTCTTCAAAACAAAATGGTCTTTCTTGGAGGGACGCAGCTGACCACATCTGACATGGAAATCTTCAGATACATGCAAAACAAACAAAAAGCACAGCACTTTCTCCTCGTGAAGAATATCACATTTATTTAATACCGGTAAATATATTTGTTAAATAAATATACATAAATAATATATTTTTTATATTGATATTATAAATAATATATATTTATATTATATTTATAAATAATATATTTATTAAA